GAGGACCCAATCCGGTCAGCACTGCATACACATTTCAATTATTTTGTTTGTCCTGTTAATTACGTGTTTATTATTATTATTATTATTATTTAATTACTTTGTTGTGTGTGTGTGTGTGTGTGTGTGTTTTTTTTTTTCTCTTATTCCAATTGTGTTGTAGTGGTGATAAGATTAAATGTTATTTTATTTTATTTTATTTTATTTTAAAAATATATAGGTACTTTTTATTCTATGTCTCTTTGTCTCTCAGATGCCATAGTCTTCTACTTACTTCCAGGTGCCGACATCTCAGCCAACGCGTCTGTTTAGCTTCCTCAACCCTCTGGCTATAGAGATCTGGTTGTACGTCCTTGCTGCGTATATCCTCGTCTCTTTCACACTCTTTGTTATGGCCAGATTCTCTCCTTATGAATGGTGAGTTATTTAATTACTCTGCTAATTATATTTCCTTCTTATACCATTTAACAGTGGTAGTGTCCGCTTTAACATCTTAGCACTGCAGGGCTCGCCCCCAGTAATACTACGACCACACAGAAGACAGGCGTCAAGTGGAAGCAATTCCGCGTTTCGTCTGATAAGTGTGGTGCCGGAGGCCTAATTTTAGTCCCTTTCCTTTTCCACCCTTTTCTTAAGAGAAAAGGATGGGAAGGAAAAGTGGATTTGAGTGGAGGAGACGCATATGAAGGGGAAATGTCCTCTTTATGTGCTTTTCCTCCGTCAATGAAGGGTAGGCAACAACATCGGATGTGTATGGGCAGCGATCGCTTGTTGGTGGATTCAGGTGGCCGCTTGCTCGTTTGCCACTTTGTATTATAAAAAATGTATAAATAGGAAGCTTATGTTTTCAATAATTTCGTGTCCAGGTCTTCAAGCACGCATGTCTGTGGACATGAAACGAAGTTATTGACAAACCAATTTAGTGTCTGCAACTCTTTTTGGTTCATCACCGGTACTTTTTTGAGGCAAGGATCTGGTCTTAATCCTATGGTGAGTTTAATCTACTTGTGGTAGACTTCACATGTCTCTTTAAAATTCCTTAAAAGCACGCACATTTGAATAAACTATCACAACTGTGATTGCAGAAGACGCACATAAAGAGGATATTTCCCCTTCCTATGTGTCTCCACTATGAAATCCACTGTTACTTTTATACCAATAGTATAAAAAGGAAAGATTTTATGTTTGTATGTTTTGAAATAACTCAAGAACTACGGGGGCGATTTAAAAAAATCTTTCACCATTAAAAAGCTATGTTATCAGTGACTAACATAGGCTATATGTTTTAATTTTACATGAGCGAAGTCGCGAGCAATAGCTAGTTTCTTATAAATCCTCAATCAAGATCAAGTATCCTTTTCGTAAGGATTAAAATTTAATTTTCTGCACAAAGGTCTCTCACAGTGTACCTTTTAGGCGACATCAACTCGTATTGTTGGCGGTATCTGGTGGTTCTTCACCCTGATCATCCTCTCTTCGTACACTGCTAACCTGGCGGCATTCCTCACGGTGGAGAGGACGGTACTTCCCATACAGAGTGCAGCAGACTTGGCTGCACAGAACCATGTGCAGTACGGCACTCTTAATGGGGGGTCTACTATGACTTTCTTCAGGGTAAGTAATCAGCAATGATAACTTGGAATCACTTTTTCAGATGATCTTGGGGCTTGAGACTAAGCACATTTATACTTAGCTAGTACAGTTGTGCGTGCCAGTGATAGATTGTATTTACTGGTGCCAGTTATTGTTCACACTGTTTCAGTTATAGAGCGCTACTGATTAACTGTACTGGCTAAGTGTGAACCACTCATTATTTGATTAAACCATACTCTGCCCAAAAAACAACTTAAATCAAATCCCCACTGCCCTTAGCTTTAGTACTTAATTTTAAATCTAGAGGCCTATAGATTCTTGGTAATTATTTATATTTCGATTTTTAAATTTAATTGGGAATTTTCAATTTTAGAACATCCCACGTTCTTACGGTGAAGGAAAACATGATACAGAATGCAGCCTGCACTCAAATTCTATGTATTTGTGTTTAAATCAGGGGGGATTTAAATTAACTAAAACCTGGACTTAGTTAAGACCTCAATAGTGGTGTACGACCGTCTTAGAGCTGGTCTATGTTACTTGATCATATTTTCTCATATCCTCAGGACTCCAACATAGATATTTACCAAAAGATGTGGCAGCACATGTCTACAGCATCACCACCGTCTCTCGTCTCATCATACGAGGAGGGTGTGAGGAGGGTCTTAGCAGGGAATTATGCCTTCCTCATGGAGTCCACGATGCTGGACCATAGGGTGCAGAGAGATTGCAATCTGACGCAGATAGGTGGACTTCTAGATTCTAAGGTATTCAAGGAGTTTGAAGCAGAAATTGGTTCAGGTAGACTCTTTGAACTCCTGATCAGGGGTTGAAGGTTGAAAGTTCACTTGAGTTATAAGTTTGTAGCGAAACTCAATAACTACTCGACTATTTTTTTATTATTCTATCACCATTGATAGCTTGATAACTTATTTATGGCCATTCTAAGCTATTTTTAATCATACGTTAGCTTAGTTCGATAACTACATGAACTACATAACTTAAATTTTACTGTTTTAAAATGTATTTCAACTTAAAACTATTGAATCATTAAATTATGATAAAATAAATGGAAACTTCAGCAACACTGGATTAATAGACATCTGAAAAAAATGATGTGATCTAAAAATAAAACTTTTTTCCAAGGGTTACGGGATAGCGACATGGAAAGGCAGTCCCTGGCGTGACAGGATATCTCTCGCGATCCTGGATCTGCAGGAGAAGGGGGTCATCCAGATCCTGTATGACAAATGGTGGAAGAACACAGGAGATGTCTGCAATCGGGACGGCAAGGATAGCAAAGCAAATCCACTTGGAGTACAGAATATTGGTAAGTTATTATTATTTAGGTAAAAGGAAACGGGAAGTAGATTTGACATTTAAAACGATAGATAGCAAATGAGCAAATGTCCATATAATTTGCCGAAAAAGCGAAGCGCCTGCCCATAGATATCCGCAATTGCAGATGCTTTGCCAACCCTAAACGACGGAGGAGGAGACGCACATAAAGAGGATTTTTCCCCTTCTTAAGTGTTTCCTCCATCAAGTCCAGTTATAAATACGATGTGTATTTTTGGATTTTTGTATGTATTGAAATAACTTAAAAACTACTACACCGATTTCAAAAACTCTTACACCATTAAAAAGCACTGTTATTACTGAGTAACATAGGCCATATGTTTAAATTTCACACGGACGGAGCTGCGAGCAACAGCTAGTGACATAATATCCGTATAAAAACATTAAAAAAGCGTTATTTATTCCAGGTGGTGTATTTGTGACGTTACTGTGTGGGTTGGCGCTGGCCATAGTTGTCGCTATACTGGAGTTCTGCTGGAATACGAAGAAAAATGCATCCCATGGCCGGCAGTCACTATGCAGTGAAATGGGCCAGGTAATTACAACTGTTTCTAAATATTTGCATTTTCGGTTGAACAAATCAACAAAACTATACTGAAATTCTGAACAAGCAATATATAGCATTTCGTTTTAACTAAGTTTGTTTTACTATAGTACTAGCAGTGAGACAAAATGTCATTTAACTCATGACTGCGGAGTCGACAATCTGTTATCTATCTCTTTCTATCTTGTGTATTTGTAATCTTACCTTAATCACATGGGACTCAAATTTTTTAGAGATATTTTTTATACTAGAACTATAGAAAACATTTTAAAATCGTTCAGTAAAATAAATCCATGTTAAAAAAGTTGTACGTTATAACGTAAGTTTTCGATTCAAGCGCAAAAGAGACTTTTTAAATATAAAATAAAAATGTCTGTAAAAGTCAAGATTTTAGCCCACTGTGCGCCTCTTACAACGGATGTCAAAATTTCAATGGAGTTTGAAGTTTGTGTGGCCTATAAGCTAGCACTTTTGACTAAACTATCGCACAACTGTTATGCGATTGTCGGTAGCCGATTGTTTCGCAGCGTTCAACTGTTTAGTTGCATAACTAAAATACAAGTAGTAAATATTTTAAAATTACGAAACAAGAAATGTTTTTAATTTTATATTGTTAACAACGCCATCTATTGATTGAAATCAATTTTCATTTTTTATTTATGTTTTCCAGGAGCTAAGAACAGCGATGCGCGGTGGTTCCTCCCGTACTGTTCTCCGGCCTGGCTGTTCGCGCTGCTCTCCAGCAACACATGTCCCTCCAGCACCTTCTAGATATGAGGTTTGTGAAATAAAAAATACTGTACTTATGACACTCAAGGGAAAAAGACGATTCTACTAATACCGTATTTGTCAAAATTGGTTCAATAATTTACAATATAATAGGTCACCTCAATCTGAGTCGATTTTAGTGGTTCATAGAGCACAAAAAGATTCAAAAATATATAGACGTGGCATAGTTGATATTTCACTTGAAATATTTTTCACATAATATTACTAACATCTATAGATCCTTAAAACCACATATCAATATAACTAATTATATTTAAATTAAAATAAATAATATTTAAATGTACATATTTTATTCTGTAACACTGTTTAGTTTACAATTTACAACAAAAGATGGAGGTTATTATAATTTTTGTAAAATGTTTTATTACATGTCAATACACAAGGTGGTACTAAACTTCACAACTAATATACTTTTCAGAAAAATAACGGGCGCGGCGACAATGTTCATTATGCCTCGTCTATTTATTTTTGATATCTTTGGTAAAGCACGAATTACGATTACCCGTCTCTGTCGCACCCGCGTAGATGTTATATTTCTCGCTCACACGGAGACGCTCCGTCGGTGTCGTCATCGTACATCGAAAGCAATGTTCGATATTCAAAAACTCAACCTGTGTTTAAGGTTCATTTTAGAATGTTATCTTAATTTTTAACGTTCAACTTACACTGGTTATGGTATCAGATTGATGAAAACCAGTGTTACTTGATCTCCAGATGCCGGACGCGTCGAGCACGGTAGAACTAAAGGAGCTGCGGTGGTCGTAGCGCGGGGCTCGCGGGCCCGCATCCGCGCCCGCTTCGCCCGCGCCCCGCGCCCGCCCGCACCCCGCGCACCCTTCGCACCCCGCGCACCCCACACATGCCCCGCGCCTACATCGCTATAGACATTACAGTAAGCACTATATATCATTCTTACAGCACACCTTTGACTAAACTATAGCACAACTATCGAAAGATATTTAATTCGAAGGTGCCTGCTCTTACTAATATTATAAATGCGTAAGTCTAGAAAGTCTAGATGCTTGTTAGAGCTAATCTAAACAACTGAATGAATCTCGATGATCGTCATACATTTTTTTTTTTATAACACAAGGTGGCAAACGAGCAAGCGGCCACCTGAAACCGCCAAAATGGCGAAGCGACCGCTGCCCATAGACATCCGCAATTGCAGATGCGTTGCCTACCCTTATACGACGGAGGAGGAGACGCACATAAAGAGAACATTTCCCCTTCCTATGCATCTCCTCCACCGTCAAATCCACTTGCTCTTCCCAACCTCTCCTTAAAAGAAAAGGGTGGTAAAGAGAAAGGGACTTAAATTAGGCCTCCGGCACCACACTCATCAGACGAAACACGGAATTGCTTCCATTTGACGCCTGTCTTCTGTGTGGTCGTGGTATTACTGGGGGCGTGCCGGCCTGCAGTGCTAAGATGCTAAAGCGGGCACTACCACTGATAAAACTACACATGTAGAGAAGTTTGGAAGAACATATAGGCTACTTACTTTTTTTTTTTTAATTCCAAACGACGTCGTGTGCGAAATGTAGTCTATACGTTAAAAAAAAATATTTTAGTATTGATGTTTTTTGAAGCATGTTTTGTTAAATTTTGTGTGTCTGTTTGTTCTGGGTAATTTCCAGAACGGCTGGACCGATTTTAACACGATTTTTACTTAAAGGTAGCTGACGAATGAAAGAATATTATTGTTTATTTTTAATTCCACGCTAATTACAGGCAACCAATAATAATAAAATCTTTACATTCATTATTAGATGATCTGTGGTCCATAAATGTTGTTAGAGAGAAATTAAAAGTTCTATAACATTCCCGCGTTTTTTAGCTACCCTCCAGTGAAAGTCCCGTCAAAATCGGTCCACCCGTTTCGGAGATTACCCGGAACAAACAGATAATAATTTTTTTTAATTTGATTTTTTATTAGTATCGCAAATCTTCGCGAAATCTAGATTTTTTATATCCCATATAGATACTCCAATTTAGGGTTGTAACGGAGGCCATTTTAGCAGATGCGGAGTTATCATTTTTTGCGGAAGTTCCGCACTTGCGGATACGGAAGCGGAGTTCCGTTACAACACTGCACCAGTCACATTGATTTGATAATTATTTGAATTTCAGATTCCGCTGGTACTCTAAGAAGGACCACATCTTATATACTCAAAGAACCCAGAGAACAGAAGAAACACGTGCAAATTGTTGCGTAACATTCCTAATAAAAAAAAACCTTTTATTATTTATGTTTACTCTATGATATCGCGTGCATATTTGACTAAAATATCGCACTGCAATCGTTTAGCAATTCAACTGTTTAGTTGCACAACTAACGAGTAGTGTACCTCCATAAGCTTATAAGAATCAAAGTGAGAAACAGCTGTGATGTTTTGTTCAAAGATGTGCGCGCGTTCGTCGCCGCCATTTTGAATTTAACTTTCAATAGTTATGAATTATGTTCGATTTATTATTCCAGTCCAGTGATTAGAATGAGAACTGGGTTACTGGATTCCTTATCCTGAAAATCCTCATAGTTTATTCCAGTGATAAACTTTTTTTGTTCGTAATCCAGTATTGATTTGACTGGACTGGAATTATGTAAACCGGACCAAAGTCAAGTTTGGTCCGGTTTACATTATTCCAGTCCAGTAGTTTGTTGACGGTAAAATGTTAATTGATAAAACTTAAATCCTAATCATTAAAGGCTGCTCCAAAAAATATAGTCAAGAAAAAAGGCGTTTTGATAAAAATATACTACTAATGTACTAAGATACAAATAATCTAGAGAATATAAAAAATTGTACAAAACAAATGCTCACGGATAGATAATATTGTCGTAAGCCCGTTTGTTCAAAAACAACGAAATATTGAAACAGAAAACGGCACTATCACTGATTTGTATAAATAGATAGGTAGTTTGGAAATGATGGCTCCTTTTTGATTCAAACGCGCTTTTTGATGCTAATGACATTATTGGTTCAAAAACTCTTCATTAATTGCAACTATATTCACCAATATGGCGAAAATAAAGTAAACACATTTTATAGCCTGTTCATTTATAGAGGTTCGACTGTACAGTTTGATTTTTTTATTAAAAATGTTAGTAGATTTTTGTTAGTTGACTAATATTTCTTTAAACCATTCCAACTAAGCTGTCGACCGTTATCGACCGTAAAATCGGTAATCCGTACAAGATACCATTAGACTATTGGCGCTTTTATTTATATTAATATAGACATTTTTTTATTTAATTGTCGCAATTAGAAAACCTGATTATTTATTTTTTGTTTAAACATGGTAACAAACCAAAAGCTGTCATTTCCAAATAACCTATCCATTTGTAGCTATCAGTGTAATTTTAGATAATCGTTTGTCTTTCTCGCTACTTTTAAGGTTATGTTTGAAAATTACAAATTATTGTGTTCTAATTAGTGTAGTTGTAAATATTTAGTATAAGATTTATAATGTTTTTTGATGATAAATTAATGTGGAATATTGTGATGTGAATTTGTTAGGATTAGGAATAATCAATATTTAGTAATACTTGATTATAATTACGGCGTTTTACTGGATTTTACGATTAATTCTTTCTTTTAAAAAGTAATATTCAAATATTGTACATATAAGCTGCTCCCGTGCTACTTCATCCGCATGAAATTATGAAAATTTTATTTTATTGTTTACATTTGTCAAATTATCAATGGGGATGTTTCCTAATTTTTGGAATTGCTTTTATTATGTAGATAAACCATATCTAAATATGAAAAAAAATGTAATAAAATCATATACGCAACATTTAATTACAAAAACACTTAACTAAAAACAACTTCTCGAAAGATCGCGAAAACGCCTCATGACATGACGTCACTTCTTCGCTAACAAACCTCGCGTCGCGGTCTGTCAAAGTCATTCAAAGTGACCAGACGTAAATTGAATTAGCTATTCAAATGACTTACTATTTTTTTTTCGTCATAGTGATCGAAAAATTTGCTCGTAAAATATGTCGTAAATATAAAAACACTTAATAATGGAGTCCTCATAATATAACACACGCAAACTCAATTATTATAATCATTAAAAAAAATTATAACTACAAAATGCACTGACATTCACTGAAGCTGGTCACACTGCCATGTTGTTTGCGAAGAAGTGACGTCACCGAGCTCTGATTGGTGTTTGAGATAGAGTAATGGAGGGTAAAAAATATTGCAGCGTTTTTGATTTATATTTCAATGGAGACAAACATTTAAGGTCTCCAAATGTTATTATAGGTTTTAAAATACTGTCTTTAAAATATTAAACATAACTTTATTTGAATTTGTAACATTAGGAAACATCCCCATTGCAAATGTCAGAATGACATGACATGATGACGACCTTGCTTTTTCTTGGCGGCAACTTATAGTCTCTTTCCCACATTAGGGTTTTTATCCAAAATATTTACCTCATAAGTTTAATGGCGTTAGAGTCTAAAGCGTGACACAAGTGTAGGGGTTTTATTAAGTTAGTATTATGTTAGAGATGTGGCGTTTATGCCGATAATCTACAACAGTACAACAAAAAGCAATGTTCTGTCAAATTGAGGATTCAAAAAACCCAGTAGAACGCCGTAAAATCATTATGTATATGAATTTTTTGTCGTGTTTGTGTGTATATTTGTACATTGTTGTTTATTTCTAACCTAGAATTTTCTAGAACTAAACTTTGTGCCTCTAATTCTACGAAGTTGAAACTGAAATAGATTATTAAATGTAATTTGTGAGAAATTTTGATGTTTATATTTATAAAAATATAATTTACTTTAATAATCCTTTAGCGTATTCAGAGAATGTGTTAAAAAGTTGAGTTTCACAAATCAATGTTATTTTTAGAGCCGGCGCACACATTTCACTAAACTATCGCACTGCGGTTGTCGATTGTTTCGACAATTCAACTGTTTAGTTGCACAACTGGAGTAGTGTACCTCCATATAAGCTCATAAGAATCAAAGCGAGAAACAGTTGTGCGATAGTTTAGTTTCAGGTGTCATATCTTCAAAAAGGTAAGTCCTCGTTTCGTCTCTTTATTAAGAATAAAAAAATGTTGCTTCATAACATTACATATTACATTACAAACATAAAGAAAAAGGAGAAACTAAAATCGCGGAAGGTCAGCGCTGGGTGCTTCGATCAGACGCATCCAGCACTTATAGCTGAGCGAGGACCCAACCCGGTCAGCACTGCATACACATTTTAATTATTTTGTTTGTCCTGTTATTACGTGTTTATTATTTAGTTTTTAATTACTTTGTTGTTTGTTTTTGTTTCTCTTATTCCAAGTTGTGTTGTAGTGGTGATAAGATTAAATGTTGTTTTATTTTTAAAATTAAAGCAATCTAGGGGACTTGATGCCGGCTACGCGCACGTGTGCGCGCCGCCAGTGCCGATCGGGGAGTCGGGTCACTAAGCCCTCTTAGGATGCTGTTGGTACTCTCCCGAACTCTGCGTAAAAGAGAGGCAATGCGTCCTATTATTCCCGTTTTTCAAAATCAGAAAATAATAGTTTTTGAGTTATTAATAATGCTTACCACAAAATCAGTTAAACTACAATTTTGCGCTTTTTAACTTCGTCCACATTGTTATGGTTTTTACATAATAATTTTTTTGTTTATTTTATATTATTTTTTTAATTTCTCAATATCTTTCAACAATAGTCCTTGGAGCCGGAACAGAAACCAATTACAAATATTCATAAACAAAATATCTCTATATTTGTTATCTGTCATAATGTTTTTTAAATTGTAAATAAAAAACTACTGTTTATTTCTTTCTTGTTTATCATCATCATCCACTTGCCCTTATCCTTACGGAGGGTCGGCACAGTATGTGCTGCTCCATACATCACTATCAGCCATATCTGAATACACTCCTTTCTTAAGCACATCCTCTTTCACACAATCCATCCATACTTTCTTCCGTCTTCCTCTTCCTTTGTAGCCATCTACATTTCTGGTTTATGTCCCTATCGTCTCGTCGTAATTATTTCTTTCTTGTTTATATAAATTGTATTTGTTGTGTGTTTTCTATTTCCTTGTTTGTGTGTTGATGTTAGGGTGTGTTTAAATGAGAAATTATTTAATAAAACAATGTTTATGAAAACTGACCGTTTTTTACCTTAAACACCACTCAGCGCCATCTATTATAAGGGAAATAAAACTAAAACTTCTAAACTTCTATTTATTATAATAATGAATACATTTCTACAATGCCTTAATATACGTAAAAGATTGAAATAGTAAACTCGGCTTGAAATGGTTTAGTTTGTTCTGTAAAATCGATTTTTGAATCTCCTGATATCGCCCAAGTATCTCTTCGTCGGCAGAATTTGATATTTCAATAGATTCGGCGTTATATCCTGTAACAAAGAATTACATTTTCAAATTCGTAAAAATTATCTCTAAAACAACCAAAGAAAAGTATTATCTATACTAATATTATAAAGAGGATTTGGATTTTTGTATGTATTGAAATAGCTCAAAAATTATTCGGTCGTTTTTAAAAATTCTTTCACCGTTAGAAAGGTAATTTATCTGTGAGTAACATAGGCCATTTAATTTTACGCGGGCGAAGTCGCGAGCAACAGCTAGTAATAAAATAAATTGGAAAAGAAACATTTTTATTCCCAAAATAGTTGGTATCAAAATTATAACACAGCGCCATCTTTTGGCAGAAATAGTTTCAAATCAGAAAAATAAAATGTTCTATCAATAGATGTCGTATTCATCGTTTTTGTATTTTCAAAGTCGCGATGTTGAAAACCTTTCATCGGGAATCACTCTCGCGGGCCGCGGTTTACAAATCATACTTACCTGGCGTAGGGGTTACCGTGATCATGAAGGCGGTTCCCCCAGGGCGAGGCCCCTCCATTGCACTGCGGTTGGGTTGACCCCTGCGATTATCCCTAATGCGGATAACTCGGACGCGTAATTTTTGGTAGTGGGGACTGCGTACGCGCCGTCCCCCATTATAATCATAACTGATAACCGACCTTCTCCCGCTTTGATAGCTTTCTTCCGCGACTCCGTCCGCGTGGAAAAAAAAACAAAAGTGATTAACCTATGTGTTTTTCCGGACTATCCTCTACATCTATACCAAATTTCATTGAAATCTGTACAGCCGTTTAGACTACAAACTAATAAACATCCATCCATCTAAACTTTCGCATTTATAATATTAGTATTGTTGACTGCTTAGATTCCAGATTGTCTACATATGAAATTACAATCTAAAATCAGATGGTACGGCGGCATTCGAACCCAAAAACAAGCGAAGCGCGGAATGTGTTCATAAACAAAGATGTGGTATTATAAATGCGAAAGTTTAGGTGGATGTTTGTTAGAGTTTGTAGCCGAAACTGCTGAACGGATTTCGATGGAACTTGGCATAGACGTAGAGAATAGTCAGGAAGAACACTTTTGTTTATTTTTAATTCCACGCGGACGGAGGAAAGATTTGTATTTTTGTATGTATTTGATTCACGTAAAAAGTACGAGGCCGATATCAAAAATTCTTTAACCATTAAAGCTACATTACTACTGAGTAACATACGCTATGATTTTTTTATTCCACGTAGACGAAGTCACTAACAAAAGTAAGATAAAAGTGTATTTTAGGCTGCCGTTTTGTCGGTAACAATTTAAATTACCCATAAACTACGAAGTTAATCCATACCTCAACATCATGGACACTCTCCAATGGGTCCAAGGTCCGTCTTCTATCAGGTCGAGGGTCTCTTGGCTGAGGAGATCTATCTTCATCATCACCTTCGGAACTATCACCATGGGTGCCCGATTGTTTTTGCACAACTATACATCTGAAAAACAAATTAAAATCGAACATTAATCTTATTTCCAGTGCTTTTACAGATAAATTTTATTTAACACTAGTTCCCGTTTGGCTTCATCCGCATGAAGTTATGATAATTTTATTTTATTGTTTACATTTGTCAACAAATCAATTGCAAATGTCAAAATGACATGACATTACAAACCATGACAATCTTGCTTCCTTGATGTTGGCAGGAACTTATGGTCTCTTTCCCACATTAGGGTTTTTATCCAAAATATTTACCCCCTAATTTTAATAGCCTAAAGCGTGATGTAAGTGTAGGGCTTTTTATTAAAAAAAGAATTATTCAAAAATATGCTGTAATTACTGACATCTTAGGTAACAAAGAAGTGTGTGTTTACGCTTTATTATAATAGTATAGACTAGCTTTCGCGTATAAACTATTTAACTACGTCGTAGTCTTTGACTCCAAAATGTAACAAAAAATGGGATCCACCTGCAAGCATTACCTTTCGGATAAAAAAAAAATTATCAAAATCGGTCCACTAGCGGCGGAGTTATGCGCTAACACACATAAAAACATACAAACGAGAGTACCTCCGTGTTTTGGGAAGTCGGCCATAAAAATAGTCTATGTGCTCTTCCAGACTACATCTATGACTTTTATCGAGTTTAGTTCTGCAGTTTAGGCTACAAACTAACAAACAATCTAATCCATCAGAAATTGTGGATGAGATGATCAGCTGTTGTTTTGCTATTTTGGCGAATTCCCTTCACCGTGTGTGCCGTAAAAACCTATGGTGAGACTGTTTAGATTGTATACTTTTTATGATATAAGATGGCAAAGGAGCAAGCGGCCTGAATCCACCGAAATGGAAAGCGACCGCTGCCCATAAACATCCGCAATTGCAGATGCGTTGCCTACCCTAATAAACGGAGAAGGAGACACACATTAAGAGGACATTTCCCCTTCCATTGCGTCTCCTGCACCGTCAAATCCACTTTTCCATCCTTTCCTCTTAAGAAAAGGGTGGAAAGGGTAAGGGACGAAAATATGGCTTAAATTTTACCGTTTATTCCGTGATACGCCGTAAACATCTGAAAGGTAAAAGATAACGTTTTGTTGTTTATTCCCAACCGTCACCCCGCTGTTCCCATGTGAGGACAGATGAGAATAAAAAGTTTACCCGTCCCACCTTTTGCGACGATGGGACGGTTGGAACTCATTTTATTTCATAACGGTATCATCTGTCATCTTATTGGTGATAGTGGGACTTAAAGGTGGGACGGATGAAACTTTATTCTCATCTGTCCCTACGTGGGGACAGCGGGGCGACGGTTGGGAATAAGCGGTTTGTTTGCAGTTTAGAATATTCATAAACAAATAAGAGTCTTAATAAACCGCACACACACCTTTGACTAAACTATCGCACAACTGTTTAGTCGCTTCGATGCCTATGAGCTTATATGGAGGTACACTACTCGTTAGTTGTGCAACTAAACAGTTGAATAGCGAAACAATCAACAATCGCACAACAGATACATCACTGAGTAATAACAGCATTCTAAGAGTGTAAAGACCTGTCCTACCACTGGCTGACAGGCTCAAATAACTTAAAAACCAACTTCCAAACAAAACACTAAAAACAAAATAATCTAAAAAAACAGTACACTAAAAAGTAACGAAATAATTACTTGAAAATAGTAAACCCACCTTATTGTAACTGTTATGTCTATATTGTACAATTATTACTTCGATGTCGGTGTCAGCCAAGGTATGCAGTGATATTTCTAGCGGCGGAGTTATGCCGTAACACACATAAAAAAAACACACAGACGAATTGAGTACCTCCTTCGTTTGGGAAGTCGGTCAAAAATGACGTCATTGTCAGATAAAGGAGCAAAATCCGGTATTTCCATCACATATTTACATTGGATGGTTATCAGACAATTTACAATTTGGTAGGACAGGTACTTGCAATTTTTGAAATAACAACATAAAGTTGTTTTTGAGTTTATTCGTATAAAACTATTATTTATAATATTAGTATAGAAATATAGATAACTGGCATTCGACCGCGACTCCGTACGCGTGGAATTAAAAAAACAAAAGTGAATAGCCTATGTGTTCTTCCAGACTATCCTCTACATCTATGCCAAATTTCAACGAAATGTTCAGCAGTTTAGGCTACAAACTCTAACAAACATCCATCTAAACTTTCGCATTTATAATATTAGTAAGAAGCAAGATTTCAGCTCCTTCTCAAGTAAAAAAACTTACGACTGAACAGAAGCACAAACAGCAAACAAGTTAGGTTATGAACCATTTTACTATAAACATAAAAAAATACTCGTTAAATAGCCTTTTTATATGTTACCAAACATGTAATAATAGTAAATGTTAATTTATCTATCTATACTAATATAAAGAGGAAAGATTTGTATATTTGTGTGTATTGAAATAACTCAAAAACTACTGGGCCGATTATAAAAATTCTTTCACCGTTAGAAAGGTAATTTATCAGTGAGTAACACAGGCTATTATTATTTACAAGCTTTCGCCCGCGACTCCCTCTGCGCGGAATTAAAAAAATAAAAGTGAGTAGCCTATGTGTTCTTCCAGACTATCCTCTACATCTATACCAAATTTTATCGAGATCCGCTCAGCCGTTTATGCTACAAACTCTAACAAACATCCATCTAAACTTTCGCATTTATTTAACGTAAGATTGATTTCAACCGGGCGAAGTCGCAAGCAACTGCTAGTTAAAATTATAAACTTGAATGTTTGTAAGTTTTTTTACCCAAGACTTGATAAGAAAACAATTATTTGATTTTTGGATGCTCTCTTGTTAAAAAGCATCGACATCATAACCTAACTTTTATTTCAAACAAGGAATATTCTGTGGTAATCAATACACATGCGAGCAAAACCGCGTGCAATAACTTATAAGTAGTACAAACAATAGATTTTGAATGCGGGTTCAATTATCTTGCAAAAATTATACCAAGTTAAAAATAATATCAGGGCTTTAGTGATAGGAAAACAGATATAATTGAGTTGGCACAGCGATTGTAAGCCTACCTTTGTTAATAACGTGCCAACTGAAAATGTTAAAATTTTAGGTTACATTTTTAATATTTTAAGCAATGTTTGGGGAGTTATTACCAGGACTTTTTATTTTTAACATAATCTGTGGTTCATTAGTAAAAAATAGTACAAAATAAAGGGTATTTTAAAATAATGTGTCAAATAAAATTGATCCGAACTTTTTTCTTATTAAATTCAAAATGGCCGCGGAACTGCTGAATTATTTTCGTTTGTAAATTGGCATAATTATTAAATATGTCATTTAATTAATAAAACAATCGAATTAAATTGTTTTTTTAGAGTAATTTTGACTAATGAAGATACGAAGTCGAGTTTTTTAAGTAATATTGAATTCAAATGAAGATACCAAGTCGATTTTACGAGGTATGCTATTTTTGTGCATTTTGGAGGTTATTTTGACAAATATTAAACATGTATATATGTTAAATTGCAATTTTAGATAATATTTTTGTTATTGCCAATTTTTTTTCTTTGCGATTTCACCAAAATGACATTCGCATGCAAACTGGACGAAGTCATATTAAGATGTCCAACTAATGTTGACCTGCCCACCCCCCTTGGTTGGTACATAATCTAGAGGTAGAAGGGTCGTTGTTCATCACGACAAGTATCTTTTAAACTGGCCAGGTATTGATGAAGCTTTAATTCGAGAGGTCAAAAGCCAAGTGATATCAACGCAAGTTGATAAGCCGAATGAGATGTAAAGTGTTGTAACTTGGAAAACATTGTTTTTTATTATTCTTTTTTTACTATTTTTATGAACATAAGTATAATACATAAGTATCGTCAATTTGATATATAAGTAAATTAACAAAAATCTACCCATATTTGAAATAAATAAAACATAATATTGATTTTTTTTAAAGATAGGAAACAAGCGTCAATTGAGCTAGTTGAAAGGTTGCTTTTGCAAATAAGGGAAATACAGAAAGAGGTTTTGCCCTTCTGTAGTTCCCTACTATTAGACAACTTATTTAATTGATACTGTCGCTTTTAACTCAGAGCAATACTTCTCGTCAAGACTCAAGTTACGCGCCAATCTATCCATACTTCTAGTGACATTGACAGCTGTCAGCTAGGGATGTGCCGTTTATGCCGATTATCTAGAGTTGCGCCAATTCTATAGCACGGTACTAATTTTATTCCTAACACTACCTAGTCAAATCTAAAAAAGGGGACGTTACATACATTTCTTACTTAGTCTATTTGAGTGTTTTGTCTTATATGGGACATTTTTTTGCAATATCGAAATGCAACTAAATGTTAAAAAAATCGTTTATTATCCTAACATTCTTATCAAATCAAGTTTATTATTTTCTATCATAGTAATACTGTGAAAAAATTTTTTGCGTTTTTTTCTCTTTTTAGAGTTACAACACTTTATCATTATCCCGTCAAACTAAACAATAGTTCATTTTATTCGAGATAGCTCAGTGTAAACGCGAAGTAAGTGGTCAGTGGTCAATTACATACAAATGGTAAGTAAATAAGATTATAACATCCAATATTGCCGAGTCCTGTCATCACACCTACAAGGGATAAGGTCATGGAATTCACGGTTCCGATTTCACCACCTCACTATCTCTAATGTCAATAGAAGCCTACCCTAAGTCAACAGCCAACTCAACAGTGGTAGAGCCCGCTTTAACATCTTAGCACGATTAGGCCAATGCCACGATCACACAGAAACAGGCGTGAAGTGAAAGCAATTCCACGTTTCGTCCGATAAGTGTGCGGAGACCTAATTTAAGTCCCTTTCCTACTCCATCCTTATCTTAAGAGGAAAGGATGGGAATGAAAAGTGGATTTGACGGAGGGGAAATGTCCTCTTTATGTGCGTTCTCCTCCGTCAATAAAGGGTAGGCAATGCATTTGCAATTGCGGATGTTTATGGGCAGCGGTCGCTTTCCGTTTCGGTGGATGCATGGCCGCTTGCTCGTTTGCCACCTTATATTGTAAAAAAAAATAACGATAAGTAAGAAACACGAGATTTTTTAAAATTTCTTTTAATAGAAGTTGGGTTGTTGAGTAGGTTTTGCATGTATAGAACAACTAGCTGTTCCCATGCGGCTTCATCCGCAGGAAATTATGAAAATTTTATTTCATTGTTTACATTTGTCAAATTATCAATAGCAAATGTCAAAATGACATGACATGACAAACCTTGGCAATCTTGTTTCCTTGATATTAGCAGCAACTTATGGTCTCTTTCCCACATTAGGGTTTTTATCCAAAATATTAACCCCCTAAGTTTAATGGTGTGAAAATATATAGCCTAAAGCATGACGTAAGTGTAGGGCTTTTTATTAAAAAAAAAGAAATAATTCAAAAATATGTTGTAATTGCTGACATCTTAGGCAACAACGAAGTGTGTGTTTACGCTTTATTATAGTATAGATGAAAGTAATTACATAAATAGTTTACGTTTGCCATACACGAGTCGCTTAGCACTCTCCGTTTGTTTCAAGCAGTTCGTATATGTCAGCCTTTATGAATATATCATTTGTTTTTTAAATATTTATACAATACAAGAACGATTTGATTGGGACGACTTGTTTTTAACACGAGAACGCATTTACAGTAATATTTTATTTACTTAATGTGTTTGTTATTGAATTATCTTAGTTCTTATTTAGTTAATAAATAAATGCGAAAGTTTTTGATGGATGCTTATTGTTTTATATTTACAAAATGTTTTGAGGAATCTTGGTGTAATTTGTCACATATGTAAAACACACAGGGGCTCGGAGCCTGCCTTAAGGGTGACTTTTTTATATAATATAAGGTAGCAAACGAGCAAGCGGCCTGAATCCACCGAAATGGAAAGCGACCGCTGCCTACAAACATCCGGAATTGCAGATGCGTTACCCTTAATTGACAGAGGAGACGCACATAAAGAGGACATTTCCCCTTACTATGCGTCTCTTCCACTTTCAAAAGGGTAGAAAGGGGAAGATACTAAAATTAGGCCGGCACCACACTCATCAGATGAAATGCGGATTTGCTTCCACTTCACGCCTGTTTAGGCCATAGTCAACGCTGCATTGCGACTTCACACAAATCTTTGAATTTCTTCTCCGATATGTACATCACTTTCCTTTACCTTTGTATATAGTCTGGAAAAAAACATAAATTGTTATTCCCACGCTAAGTAACTACAAGGACAAGGTTGCTGCAAGAAATACAGCAGTTGGAAATAAAGAAAAAAAAACGTATTCCTGTTCGTATATGTAAAGTGGTAGTTAAATAATATTTTTAATATTTTATAATACTATTTTTAAATTTAATTTTTTATCTCTTCCCTTGACTATTTTCTCTCTCTTTTAAAACAGTTAACATGTTATGCGCACATTCTTTTTGTGTTAGTCCAATAATGTTTTTCATAACATGTTTATGTACGAATGTTTTCTTTCATTTTATTTTTAGTCATGTGTATGTGATAATTTATACCTATCCACTGGTACTACTGACGTGTGGATCCCAAGGGTTCTCGCGGAAGATCAGCGCTGGTACTTCAATAGGAGCATCCAGCATTTATAGCTGAGCGAGGGCCCAATCCGGTCAGCATTGCAACGCCAATTTTAAATATTCCTTTTTCTTTTTTTTTTCATTTCATTAGTTATGTTTCTCATTTATCTGTGTTTAATTTTTTTTTTCATAATTGTAGTGTTGACAAGGATTAAACATTATTTTATTTTTATTTATTTTATTTTATTTTAAATTTTGTTTTTTTCAGATAACGTCATGATCTTCAACTATTTTATATTGGCTTGCGGTAAGTTTTCAACGATCCGCCCCAACTTTGCCTGGTCTTCATGACTAAACTGTCCCACAACTGTTGTGCGATTGTCGATTGTTTCGCAATTCAACTGTTTAGTTGCTCAACTAACGAGTAGTGTACCTCCATAAGCTCATAGGAATCAGACTGAACAGTTGTGCGATAGTTTAAACAATAATGTGCGTCCACTATCATACAATATTATAAATGCGAAAGTTTAGATGGATGTTTGTTAGAGTTTGTAGCCTAAACGCTTGGATTTCGATGAAATTTGGTATAGATGTAGAGGATAGTCTGGAAGAACACATATGCTACTCACTTTTGTTTTTTTTTTATTATCACGCGGACGGAGGGAAGATTTGTATTTTTGAATGTATTGAAATAACTTAAAAACTACTGGGCTAATTTTAAAAATTTTACGCCGTTTGAAAGGTAATTAATCTGTGAGTAACATAGGCTATGTTTTTTGCTATTAAAAATGTGAAAGTTAAGAGGGATGGATGGATGAATGGATGTTTGTTAGAGTTTGTAGCCTAAACGGCTGACCGGATCTTAATGAAATTTGGCATAGATGTAGAGGATAGTCTGAAATAACACATAGGCTATTTGCATTTGTTTTTTTAATTCCGCACGGACATAGTCGCGGACGAAAGCTAGTTTTAAATAACTGATTAAATTTTCTTTGATAACAATATTTAACAGTAGAGGGAGCTAATTACAATTTTGTGAAATGTTTTATGAAACGACAAGAGATGGCGCTAAACTTGACAAGATACAAACCTTTCACAGAAAGTACCAGTAAAATATATCATTGCAGGGCTAACTGCCGTATCAGCTGGTGGTCTCCAGGCATTGTTCCCGCAGCTGAACCGCCAGTATGCCTTCACGGTGAAGACCAACTCATCATCAGGTATCCTCGCACCAAGAGAGGGCAATTCCTTCTGGACGTTGGAGGGTAGATTGCTGGTTACTGTTTACGACAATTATACTAAGGCGAGATTCAAATTGGAAGACTTAAAGGTGGGTATTGAAGTTTCCACAGGACTTGATTTGTACTTACTAGTATACCGTACTCAGAACGGGAGTATACCTTTGACAAAGTTATCGCACAACTAAAAATCAAGTGTGCGCACTTCCATATAAGCGCATCGTCATCAACTTGCCCTTACCCCCTATGGAGGGTCGGCACTATGTGCTCCATACATCTCTATCAGCCACATCTGAATCCACTCCTTTCTAAAGCATATCCTCTTTCACACAATCCATACTTTCTTCGGTCTTCCTCTTCCTTTGTAGCCATCCACATTCATTCTTAACTTCTGGTTTATGTATTAACACCATATGAGCTCGTAGGAATTAAAGGTCATTATTCCCAACCGTCACCCCGCACTGTCCCCGAGTAGCGTCAGCTGAGAATAAAATGTTTAATCCGTCCCACCTTTTAGTCTTATTATCACCAATAATGTGACAAGAAACCGTTAAGAAATAAAATAAGTTCCAACCATTCTCGTCGCAAAAGGTGGGACAGATGAAACTTTTTACTCTCATCTGTCCCCACGTAGGGAGACAGCGGGATGACGGTTAACGGCGGATCCAGGGGGGTCATGGGGGTCATGACCCCCCTGAGCTGGTTGGTGAAGAGATTGACAAAATATATTTACTTATTGTGTCAAGCTCTTGACTTGACCACGACTATGTGACCCCCCTGGCGTCATAGTTGATGACGGTTGGGAATAATCCATCAAAGCGAGACTAAACAATCGTGCGATGGTCAAAGGTATACGCGCGCTCTTACTGTACTATTTTTTTGTAAATTAAAAGATAAATCATAGTCACTAATAACTAAGGGGTCCAATCTCTTTACAGACTACCTACCAGTCAGAAGAAGCAGCCAGTTTTCTCAAGCTATCATGGGAAACCGATTATCAGGTAATTATTTCATCATCACCAGCTCCCTATACGTCCCCACCGAGGGGCTCGGAGCCTACCATTAGGGTGACTAGGCCATAGTCAACCTGCACTGCGGGTTGATTTCACACATATCTTTGAATTTCTTCACCAATATGTGCAGGTTGCATCACGATGTTTTCCTTCACAGTAAGAACGTGGGGTAAATTATGTACATATGAAAAATTTAAAATTCGAAAAACTAATTACGCTGCCTAATATAGTAACTTCTAGTAATACAAATTTGTTTATGTTACTAGTTGCTGCTCGCGATTTCGTTCGCGTGTAATTAAAAAATTATAGCCTTTGTTACTAATAACATAGTTTATAACGGTGAAAGAAATCGAAATCGGTCCAACAGTTTTTGTGCTATTTCAATACGTGTAAAAATCCAAACATTTCCTCTTTATAATATTAGCATAGATAATACTTTTATTGCTATGGTAAGAATAAACAACGCCATCTAGCGCCAATAATTCAATATAGTTACATAATTGTATACAGCGCCATCTAGTTATTGAGTTAATACGATGTTTGCAGGCGAATGGTTTGCTCAGCGCCATGTACGTGAGTCAAGAACCGGTGTGGGCAACGAATATGAAACGAGCTTTGTCAATTAACTTCCAGTTAAAGAAGGGATCCGGAACGTATGGTAATTATGAGGTTAGTATTAATAATTAAGCGATTAATTAATACATCAATTAATTACGAATGAATAAATTAATTAGTTGAAATCAAAGAAATTAAATAAATCTCTAGAGGCGGCATAGTAAATTCACTTAAAACATGTTCACTAACGCTGTCTCTTGATAGATTTCTAAAATCTGTTTATTGCAACTTGTTATAATTTTGTTTAATTTTCTATTGCATGTAAATTTAGTACCTTTCCGAGAGAGTACAGGTGATTTTTTTTTATTCATAATGCCTCGTTTATAAATTTTTAAATGTCTTTGTTTAAAATACATACTTCTGTTCGATAAAAAGTCTTGTATCAGGGTTATCTCTTCTTGTTTATTTACAGGCCTAGCCTATAAGAAAGAATCTTATCTTTTTTACAGCCCTGCTTATACGAAAACTGTCTGATGGTATACACAGTGGTAGGAGACAATATAAAGAAGTATTGCAGCGTGAAGGTCTCTTCACCAAGAACTGAACACAGCTGGAGCTCTGTACCCTGGACTCAAGATTATGATGACAGGAATGTTGTGAGTTTTATATTAATTAATCGAATAATTAATTAATTAATCGATTGATTAATAGACTTAGATAATTAATCGATTAAATTATTAATTGACTGATTAATTGTTTATTTTACTAAAGTCCGTAAATAAGTAATTATAAATTATCTTTTTTTTTATTTAATTACGACTATTTACTACTTTGAAGTCGGTGTCAGTCAATGTAGATTCATTACTTAATTGTTACTATACTTTCAATTGTCAATTGTTATGGTATAACGCCCGGCAAACTTCTTGAACAAAAAGCGGCGTAGTGGGGGAAGTTTCGCGCACGTACACTTTTAGACAAAATAATTGACCTATTTTGAGAATTAGTAATAATTAGGAATGAAAAAATTCAATTTTAAATTTTAAGAACACGACAGACATGCATAAACAGCTTGTGCAATTTCTTTAGATGATTCTTGTTTCATGAAACAATATACATCATATACTATTTTCCTGGCTTGTCTTTTTAGAACAATGTTACTTTTTCGTGGCATACTCAACACAAAAAGTCAAAACAATAACAAAATAAAACTTAACAATAATAAACAAATGAGACTCAATAATAACAACAATAGAAAAAAAATATAAACAATTATTACCGAATATAAGTAACAGCGAAATTGGGCCAACAAAATTGGAGATAAGTGTATTCTGGAGTAAACGGAATATGGGGAAAGAAGCGGGACGCAAAGGTCGAATGATTAACCAATAGCAAGAGAAAAAGCTTGCGCCGCCAAAAAGACCCAATAATCGACTTCTGCGCAACTAAATGTCTTGTTCAAGATGTTTGCCGGGCGTTATAAAAATGTACAAATCCTTACGTATAAATATCACTGCATACCTTGGCTGACACCAACATCAAAGTAATAATAATTGTACAATATAGACATAACAGTTACAATAATGTAGGTTTACTATTTTCATGGAATTATTTCGTTACTTTTTAGTGTATTGTTTTTTTTTTAATATTTTGTTTGGAAGTCGGTTTTGTTTTTTATTATTATTTTTTTATTATAATCCATGGCTGTTTGAGTTGCGGGCGTAAGCTAGTATTAGTATATATTTTTTTTCAACAGCCAGAGATGGTATCCACGTCAGAACGTGTATACACATTAGACCAGAAAGGACTTATCAGTATGGACATGAAAGGGATGTTTCAATACAAGATACACGATCACATATTATACGTAGCATCAGAGTAAGTATGAAAATACTAGCTGTTCCCGGCTTTATCCGCATGAAATTGTAAAAATTTTATTGTGTAGTTTACATTTGTCAAAATGACGACATGATGACAATCCATGCTATTTTACGTCCTTGATGTTGGCAGCAAGCTTACGATCTCTTTCCCACATTAGGGTTCTTAACCAAATTATTTACCTCCTGAGTTTAAATGCGTGACAATATATAGCCTAAAGCGTGTAAGTGTAGGGCTTTTTTAAAGAAATAATTATTCCATAGTATGCTGTGATTGCTGACATCTTACACTACAAAGTAGTGTGTGTTTACGCTTCATTTGTATGGTTTTTTTTCAGGCTATCACTCTACTACGACGCTGAAGTTCCTATACAAAGTCTAGGGAAGTTGGAACTGATCAGAAGAGGTGTTCAGTATGACGCTGGAGATTATAGGAATCCATCAAACTTTATAAAAACTGTCACACAAGATGAGTTGAAGAATAAAACATGCGAAGTAAGTATGAAAGCTATAACTAATAATAATGCGAAGGTAGAGCCCGCTACATGTACGCAATGTAGGGCTCGCCGAATACCACGACCATACAGACAGACTTGAAGTGGAAGCAATGCCGTCTGATTTGTGTGGTCCCGGAGGCTTAATTTTAGCCTTTTTCTACCATTTTCTAATACGTCAAGGATGGGAAAGCGGATTTGATTGAGACGCAAGAAGGGGAAATATCCTCTTTATGTGCGTCTCCTCCGTTAATTAAGGGTAGACAACGTATCTGCAATTGCGGATGTATGTGGGCAGCGGTCACTTCGCTTTCCCGGCTAATTCACGTGGCCGCACGCTCGTTTGCCACCTTATAATATAAACAAAACGTTTGAATGGATGTCTGTTATCTGTTACTATGTATCTTTAGGATTAAGGGATCTCGATGAAAGTCACAGATGTAACTTTGTGTGAATGAAGAGGCTGTGTTTTTTAATTCTCGACAGACGAAGTCGCGGGAAAGGCTACAAAAATATGTGGCCAATGTATGCTTTGATGAAAATCTTACTAATATTATAAACTAGCTTTTTCCCGCGACTCCGTTCACGTGGAATTAAAAAACTAAGGAGCCTATGTGTTCTTCAAGTCTGTACTCTATATCTATGCCAAATATATATCGATATCCGTTCAGCCGTTTAGGCTACATACTCTAACAAAAACCCATCCATCTAAACTTTCGCCATGATGGGAGAGCGTCGGTGGCTCAGTGGTTTAAGCACTTGACTTGTAATCTAGAGGTCTTGGGTTCGAATCCCGCCGCCATGTACCAATGTGATTTTCGATTTTTCGAATTTTCATATGTACATAATTTACCCGACGTTCTTACGGTGAAGGAAAACATCGTGATGCCTGCACATATCGGCGAAGAAATTCAAAGATATGTGTGAAGTCAACCAACCCGCAGTTTGGCCAGCTTGGTTGACTATGGCCTAGTCACCCTAACTTTAGGGTAGGCTCCGAGCCCCTCGGTGGGGACGTATAGTGAGCTGTGGTGATGATGAAACTTTCGCATTTATAATATTTGTAAGATGTAAGATGTGAAAGTTTAGATCAGTGGTTCTCAACCACTGTGCCGCGATACTTTTGTGTGCCGCCAAATTTTGCATATTTTTGTCATAAACTATTTATGCATTGTATTCTAGTAAGTAAATAATTTTTATCTTTTTCTTTGTGTGCCGTCAAATTTTGAAATCGTAAAATATGTGCCGCAACAAAAAAAAGTTTGAGAATCACTGGATTACATGTTTGTTAGAGTTAACCTAAACTGAACGAATCTCGATGATTGTCATACATGTAGATAGTCTGGAACACATAGGCTACTTACTTTTTTATTTTATTTTAATTCTGGACAGTCTTAATCGAAAACTAGTAACTAAATACTTTTCACAGATACTTTTGAATATCGCTAAGAAAGGAATCGACGCTGACAACATAGTGAAAAACGAAGGCCTAATTCATACAATGGATTTTGTAGATTTACTAAAGTTAGTAAACGTAACAATATACACTCAAGAGCATTGAATCCGGGTCAGAAAAATTTAAAAACCTCGTAAACTAAATATGCATGAAGAAAACGGTTTTTAATAGACAACTAGCTGTTCCCGTGCGACTTCGTCCGGATAAAATTATGAAAATTTTATTTTATTGTTTACAAATGTCAAATTATCAATTGCAAATGTCAAAATGACATGACATGATGATAAACCATGACAACCTTGCTTCCTTAATGTTAGCAGCTTGTAGTTTATGGTCCCTTTCCCACGTGAAGGATTTTTCCAATTTGTTTATTTCCCAAGTTTAATAGCGTAAAAATATATAGCCTAAAGCGTGTCGTAAGTGTAGGGCTTTTTATTAAAAAGAGGATTATTCAAAAATATGCTATGATTGCTGACATCCTACGGCACAAAGTAGTGTGTGTTTACGCTTTATTATATTAGTATAGATATTAAAATAAAATAAAATAATAACATTTATAATCTAGTTTATTTTATTGATAAAAAATTACATAAATAAAAAATCTGCTGATTAGCCTTAATTTAAAATTTAAAAAAAAGTTGTACAAAATCGTCATGATTTTTTGAATTCTGATGTCTGTTGCCTCCTTGTGCGTCATTACTGCGTTACCGCGGATTATTATGCTGTACGCCAAGTTTCTTATACTCATCATCCACTTGCCCTTATCCCTTACGGAGGGTCAGCACAGTATGTGCTGCTCCATACATGTCTATCAGCCATATCTGAATCCACTCTTTCCTTAAGCATATCCTCTTTCACACAATCCATCCATACTTTCTTCGGACTTCCTCTTCCTTTTTCACCAAGTTTCTTAAACTATTTTCGTTAATATTCTCTCTATCTGAGAGAGAGAAATCAAGAAGTTTTCATACTCTAAGGAGTATTTAATAGTCTATTAAACACTCTTTATTTCATTAAGCTAGCATTCTTAGTTTACGAGATTTATAGATTTTTTGTTTTATGTGACCCGGATTTAATGCACTTGAGTGTACTACTAAAATTAGTAATTAAGTAGATATAATAAATGTTAAATTATTTTTTCAGTACTCTGTCGCGTTTAACGTACGATTCCTTCAAATCTCTATTCGACGAACTAATTCTTGGCACCAGCTACGATCTAGAGACGGCGAGGAACATCTTCTTGGAAGTCCTGCCTCATTCTAGAAGTGACGCGTGCGCTCGCTTCATCAGATACTTGGTGATAGAACAGAAAGTGAGTACAAAAGTTATTTATACTAATATTATAAAGAGGAAAGATTTGTATTTTTGTATGCATTGAAATAACTCAAAAACTACTGGGACAATTTAAAAACAATCACCATTAAAAGCTATGTTATCATTAAGTAAAATAAGCTATATTTTTGTTATTTTTTAATTTCACGCGGTCGATGTTTGAACAACAGCTAGGAAGTATATCAATGCTTACAGCCGAATTCTGAAACGCAATTTATATACGCGCTTCGTAAATTACAATCTGACTGACAAATTATATTGGAATTTATTATTTAAGCGTGGCCTTATTCAGATGCTGGTATTTATAATAAAGTTTTTATTATTCTTCTAGGACAAGATAGAAGACTTAGCTCTTCTTTCCTTACTTCGTAAACTACCTTACAACGTAGCGGATTATAGTCAAAATCTTCTAGAAGAATTGGAAGTCTTCACTAGACTCGGTCTTGACTTCCCTCCATCCATACGACACGCTGGTATTCTGTCATTCGCGACTCTCGCTTCAAAGACGATGGACGCGTCGTTAGTTAAACACGATTACTACGATAATGTCGTTATAAAATTCTTCAGAATGTATAGTGGTAAGTTTTTTTTTTACAATTAGCCACTTGGACGTACACGTCTAAAACTAATATTATAAAGAGAAAAATGTTGTATTTTTGTATGTATTGAAATAACTCAAAAACTACTGGGTCGATTTCAGAAATTCTTTCACTATTAAAAAGCTACGTTACCAGTGAGTAAAATTTTACTAATATTATAAATTCCAAAGTTTAGATGGACAGATGTTTGTTAGAGTTTGTTGCCTAATGATCCTTCAGATCAGATCTCAATGAAATTTGGCATAAATGTACAGGATAGTCTGGAAGAACTTACTTACTTTTAAGAGAAAAGAGTTTACTTACTTTTTTATATTTTCATGCGAATAAAGTCGCGAGTGACAGCTAGTGTGAAATAATATTCTATTTCAGATTGCCCACAATATTTAGACCGTATGGTCTGGCTTCAAGGTCTCTGTACACTAGGACATACAGCATGCTCGTACATCAGGACTATACATGGCGATATCAAAAGGAACAGACACGAAAGACTCTGGGCCTCTTTAGCTTGTGGGTCTGGGGCTAAAGGATATTTGGTATGATGTTATATTTGTCACCAGTGTTATCACAGTCGTCATTATCTCCCCTACTTTATCCGACTCCCGTAGCGCATGGTTTTCGTCCTCCAAATAACTCTATCATCCGTCAACTCAGTCACTCCCTTCATCACCTTTCACACAATCCATCTTTTTTTTATCTACCTCTACTGGTGTACTCTTAACTAACGTTCTTTTTACATTCATCCCTCCTTATAACATGCCCATGCTAACCTTTTACTCCTTTATTTCTCAACCAAGGGGCTACTCTCAAATTACCTCTAATATATTCATAACAATGTAGTCACAGTATGCTACTAAACTGGTGTAGTTTAGTTGCACAACTAAAAATCGAGTCAACTGTTTAGTTGCACAACTAAAAATCGAGTAGTGTACCTCCATATAAGCTGATAGGAATCAAAGCGAGAAACAATTGTGGGATAGTTTAGTCAAAGGTGTGCAAGCACTTAGTCTATTCTTACTAGCGTACTTTCTTTTAGGTTCTAGAAACAGCTCTCCCGATCCTCACAAATGACAAGGAGCATATCCAATTGAGAGTTGCCGCAGTACATTCACTTCTTAGCACTGATATTAGTGCCAGTGATTTCCTCTTCATCCATAATTATATTAAGGATTGTAGTAATGATCAACTTAAAAGGTTCTGGTACTCCACTATCAAGACCATAGAGAAGAACAAGTTCTTCCATGGATATAAGTCTGTGTATGTATTACTAGCTGTTTTTTTTTAATAAATCTATTAGTAGACTTTTGTTAATTTACTATTATAATATTTCCTTTAACCATTCCAACTAAGCTCTAGGCTTGTGCTAGGATGTGGTTCACGACAATAATCGAATGGTGGGATTTGAACCCTCGACCGCAAGAGCGGTAGTCCGTACCCCAAACCATTAGGCTATTGGTTTAGACAGAGGGATGGATGTTAGAAGGTATCCTCCAGAACTGCTTAAAGGATCTCGATGAAATCTAAAACGGATGTAGAATCTAGAAGAGCACATAATTTGCTAAGTTTTTTTTAATTGCACGCTCTTTGACCGCGTGAAATTAAAAAAAATACATAACGTAGCTTTTTAATGCTGAAAGAATTATTGAAATCGACCCAGTAGTTTTTGAGTTATTTCAATACATACAAAGATACAAATCATTTTTATATTAGTATAGATAATATAGAAGTATAGATATAGATAGAATAACTTTCTTATTTCTTCTTACAGATCTCTATACGTCCCATTCATCAGTAGCCAAGTAACAAACCCAGGGTCTACATATTGGTCTACCAATAACTTGCTGTTCACTGTTGGTGATGATGAAGACACAGCATCAGTGCATTTCTTCAGTGTGGGGGAGGCTGATGGACCGATGCCCGCTATGGGGGGGATAAAACTGTCTACTGGGGGGAGAAGACCTTATCAACCATCGGTAAGAACTTATAGGTGCCCTCAAATTGAAACCTTGAGTAGACCATTTATAGAAATAAATTAAGTAATGCCCTTATGGCCAGTTTCAAAGATACGTTTAAGCATTCGTTAGAGGTTTTGCTTCGATATATTCCTGAAGTGCTTTTCGGAATTATCTGAGTTTTCCTCCTTTGAAATTTTGTTTAATCTAACACTAATCACTTCGTAATGCTAAAATAAATGAAAAAACTTTAGCAACCATGCTTGAGATATTTGCGTTAGTTAGAAGACAAATATATTAAGGGCAGAGGAGAGACGTAGGACAGGAAAACTGTCTTTCTTGTACGTATTCTTTCGCGGAATCGACTTCCCCTTTCTTTGTAAGAAAATGGAGGGATGGGCAAGAGCGTTTAAATTTAGGCAAAACGTGGAAACAACGGCTTAATTTTATTATTAACTACCTGTTGCTTGCGACTCTGTCTACGTTAAATTTTTAAAATACTATACAGTATATGTTACTCAATGACAACGTAGCTTTTTAATGGTGAAATAATTGACATTGTCCCAGTAGTTTTTGAGTTATTTCAATACATAATCATCATCATCATCGCCAGCTCACTATAAGTCCCCACTAAGGGACTCGAAGCCTACCCTAAGTAAGGGTAACTAGGCAACGCTGGCCCAATGCGGGTTGGTTGACTTCACACATATCTTTGAATTTCTTCGCCGATATTTGCAGGTTACATCACGATATTTTCCTTCACCGTAAGAACGTCGGGTATATTATATACATATGGAAATTCGAAAAAAATTGAATATCACATTGGTGGCGGGATTCAAACCCAAGACCTGTAGATAACAAGTCAAGTGCTTAAACCACTGAGCCACCGACGCTCACAACAAGAAATACAATTTGTGCCTCTTTATAATATTAGTATAGATAATTCTTTTTACAGATATATTTCGTCGGCGAAGGGCTGTCTTGGTTAATGTTAAAGAAACTCTTGCAATCAAGAAATATCAACCAGGGAACCTTGATCTCTATGTTGGAGAAGTTGAAAGCTTGGAAATTGAAAACTCCAGAACCGGTATGTTTTATTAAGAGTATATTCAAATGAAAAATGTATTATCATCAGAACTAAGGATGTCTTCAAATCATCCTGTTACAAATGTGAAAGTTTAGATGGATGTTTGTTAGAGTTTGTAGCCTAAACGGCTTAACGGATTTCGATGAAATTTGGTATAGATGTAGAGGATAGTCTGGAAGAACACATAGGCTACTCACTTTTGTTTTATTTAATTCCACGCGGACGCAGTCGCGGGCGAAAGCTAGTATTATAAATGGGACAGTTTAGATGGATGTTTGTTAGAGTTTGTAGCCTAAACGGCTGAACGAATTGAATGAGAATGAGAATAAATGATTGAGATGAAATTTGGTATAGATGTAGAGGATAGTCTGGAATACATAGGCTGCTCACTTTTGTTTTTTTTATTATAATTCCACGTGTACTTAGTTGCCGGCGACTGCTGGTGCTAATTAAAAGTAAAACATCCATTATAGCTAGCCCTACAATAAGTTGCATTGTTATATTTCTTTGTTTCCAGGTTCATATAGACATAGTTGTGAAGATCGGAGACAAAACTGTGTACGCGATGCACATCGACCAATCGGATTTAGAAGATACTTACAATGATAAAAGTAAATATTTATTAATATCTAGAACATGGGCGTTGCCAGTCGAGATCTTACTTTGTCTAGGAGACAGCTACCATTATTCTTACTGTATCATCATCTCCTTTTTTTTATAACATAAGGTGGCAAACGAGCGGTCACCTGAATCCGCCAAAATGGCGAAGCGACCGCTGCCCATAGACACCCGCAATTGCAGATGCTTTGCCTACCCTTATCCGACAGAGGAGGAGACGCACATAGAGAGGATATCTCCCCTTCCTATGTATCTCCTCCTCCGTCAAATCCACTTCCTCATCCCATCCTCTCCTTATAAGAAAAGGGTGGTAAAGAGAAAGGGACTTAAATTAGGCCTCCGGCACCACACTCATCAGACGAAACACGGAATTACTTCCATTTGACGCCTGTCTTCTGTGTGGTCGTGGTATTACTGGGGGCGTGCCGACCCATTCGTGCTAAGATGTTAAAGCGGGCACTACCACTGTTAAATCCTTATCCTACTCCCGTAGGGTAGGCGCAACAGGCTTTTGTCCTCCACATAACTCTATCATACGTCATCTCAGTCATCCCCTTTTTGATCATGTCACCTTTTACACAATACATCCATCTCTTTCTAGGTCTGCCTCTACCGATGTACCTCCACACTCATAACTAACGTTCTCCTTGTAACATGCGATTCATCCCTCCTCATAACATGCCCATACCATGCTAATCTTTTACTCCTTACCTTCTCTACTACGGGGTTACTCTCATTATTTTTACTGTATCTTAGTAATATTATGATTGATATAGTTTATTGATAGATGGATGTTTGTTAGAGATTGGCGCCTAAACATGTCAGTAATTGCCAAAGTGGTCAACTCCCTGATGTACAGGAGACCCGGTGTATTATTTTGGGAAATTTTGAGGTTTCACAAACAGAACAATCAATGTTCACGAGAGTTACAACCAATAATAAAGCTACTACACTACTCCTTGGCATAGTGTGCAATCACAGTATATTATTGAATAATCCTCTTTTTAATAAGAAACCCTACAGTTACACGCTTTAGGTTATATTTTAATTAACGGGGGTAAATAATAATAAAAAAAACATGTGGGAAAGGGGCCATACACTACAAGCTGCCAACATTAAGGAAGCATGGTTATTGGTAATGGTAATTTTGACAATTGCAATTGAGAACTTTGACAAATGTAAAAAATAAAATAAAGTTTTTATACTCATGCAGATGAAGTCACATTGCAGATTTAGTCTACTTAATAAAGTGGGAGCAATTCCGTTTCGTTTCGTCTGATTAATGTGGTGCCAGAGGCCTAATTTTAGTTCCTTTCCCTTTCCAGCTTTTTCTTAAGAGGAAAGGATGGGAAGGAAAAGTGGATTTGACGGTGAAGGATATGTAAAGGAAGGGGAAATGTCCTCTTTATGTGCGTTTTGTCCGTCAATTAAGTGTAGGAAACGCTGCAGTTGCGGATGTTTATGGGCAGCGCTTTTCATTTCGGATTCAGGCCGCTTGCTCGTACGGCACCGTACATTATAAAAAATAAACATTCAAAGTGAATTTTTCTTTCAGTATTCAAATTTATCGATGACGTACTAAAGTTTGGCAGCCATATCAACCAGCAGTTAGTCTACTATCCGTTTCAAATGGACTGGAACATAGCCAGCGAGTTGGGTAAGTTTTAAAACCTTTAAAATCCTTTGGAATCCATAAATAACTCTAAAGTATCTATACTAGCTGTTGCTCGTGATAGTCCCCGTGAAAAATATAGCCTATGTTACTCACAGATAAATTACCTTTCTGATGGTGAAAGAATTTTTAAAATCGTCCCAGTAGTTTTTGAGTTATATCAATACATACAAAAATAAAAATCTTTCCTCTTTATAGAATTAGTAAAGACTTATACACAAATGTATCTATATATCTATATTAATATTATAAAGAGGAAATATTTGTATTTTGTATGTATTGAAATAACCCAAAAACTACTGGGCCAATTTTAAAAATTCTTTCACCATCAGAAAGGTAATTTATCTGTGAGTAACATAGGCTATATTTTATTATTACTAATGTTTAGGAACTATTATTAAACAGCGTCTTTCTGGACGCCGGCGTTAAAAATTCACTAATCTATACTAATGTTATAAAGAGGAAAGATTTGTATTTTTGTATGTATTGATATAACTCAAAAACTACTGGGACAATTTTAAAAAATCTTGCACCATTAAAAAGCTCTTTTATCACTGAGTAATATCGGCTATTTGTTTAATTTCATGCGGGCGAAGTTGCGAGCAATAGCATGTCGTAGATGTAGGAACTTCACATGTGTAATACCGAAATAAATAGATGGATGGAACTGTACACCGCAAATGACTTAATCGCCAAGGTATTAGAAAATACGTAGCAATTTTATATTTCAGGTACCCCTGTAAGGCTCCAAAGGACAATCGTAGGGTTCTCATCAATACGAGGCAATCTTACTGCTCATCCAGAAACACAAGGCCTCACTTGGGACAACGATCTGCAGATCACGTAATAATAACTTCTAATCTTCCAATTGCTGTAATAATCGCCAAACCGTAATATTTTTCCCACCACCAACACTGGAAGGAAAATTGGATTTTAAGTGGCAATACTTTTTTTTTACATTTTTAAACTATCTCAAAACTGTTGTGCGATTGTCGATTGTTTCGTAACTTTCGACTGTTTTTGCAAAACTAAACATTGAGTAGTGTACCTCCTATATTAGGGTTGTAACGGAACTCCGCTTCCGTATCCGCAAGTGCGGAACTTGCGCAAGAAATTATACCTCTACATCAGCTTCTGTTTCCGTTATTTCTTATATAACGGAGGTTAATTTACGTCTTCAACGCGAGTGGTTCGATTAGGTATCGTTTATGCCTGCGCTGGCATGATCTATCAACTAACTATAATTGTTATACATTATATTTGCATAATAAACTGTATCTTGTAATTGTGTATCAATCTGTATTTTGAATTAACGTAGTTTTAGTTTTTATTTCTTTAATAAATCGCAATTAATGTTTTATTATTGACCTATACTTCCGCTTCCGTTAACATTCGCTATCGCATCCGCTTGCGTTAAAATGGACTCCGTTACAACCCTACTCCAAATAAGCTTATATGAATCAAAGCGATAACAGTCGTGCGATAGTTTATTCAAAGGTGTGTGCAGTCTAACTATATGACTTCAGGTACCAAGGTACGGCGGTTACGTCACTATGCACGGATGGACCGATCCTCCTCTCGGAGCATACAACCAGGATCCAACAGTCTATCGTCGCACTCCTGCCAATGCAGTTCAACGTCTCTCTACCTTTAAATGTGAAGAAGATTGAGTAAGTAATACAGCTTATAGAGGTTCATAGGTAATGGGTAATGGTCTAAACGCGTATTGAGTGACCAAAGCTGAGGTCCCCTTTAGCGGGCCCGTGTGCCTAATCACTTGATGTGCGTCCACCGAAGCGATCTAAGAGCTCGTAGCCCTTCCAATCCGGTAATTATAACGAAGTAACGGCTCATGCCTCGGCATCGGCGAGGGCTCCCTCAGGAGCCGAGGCTCCTGAGGGAGCTCTCGTGCTTTACTCATACACGAGGTTTAGGCTGAGTGCCTTCCGCGTTCGGCCACCTCGAGCCCGGTGGAGCTGTAAATGAATCTTCAAGGCAAACAGTAACAAGTCAGTTATAAAAGAAAGGTAATGGAAGGTGGTAATTTATTCTCTCTTCTATCTATATATACAAAAAATAAAATTGCAGCGTGTGTTTGTAATATCCAACTAAAAATTCCAGATTTCGGGAAGATGATGTATTTGCATTGCTGATAACGAAAATCACCATTAATTTTTTTTTGTCTCTTTGTCTTTGCATAATCCCCTTAAAATAAAGGGGAAAATTTACAAAACCGTCGTAAGATCTGTCATGATGTATAGATCTGAATGTTGAGCAGTAAAAGGGACGGATGAAAGGAGAATACATGTGGCGGAAATGTGAATGTTGAGATGGATGTGTGGGGTAACACGATTGGATAAGATACGAAATGAGTATATTAGAGGAAGTTTGAGAGTAGCCCCAGTGGTTGATTAAATAAGGAGTAAAAGGTTGGAGTGGTATGGGCATGTTATGAGAAGGGATGAATCGCATGTGACAAGAAGGATGTTAGTTATGAATGTGGAGAGGTACATCGGTATAGGTAATCCTAGAAAGAGATCCAATCCATCCAGGATTGCGTGAAAGGTTACATGACCAAGAAGGGAGTGATGACTGAGATGACGGATGATAGAGTGCTTTGGAGGACGAAAACCCGGTGCGCTGACCCTACGGGAGTAGGATAAGGCAGGGGAGATGATGAGTTGATGATGTCTGTCTGTCTGATGTTCCTTAGAAACGACAATGGTATTCTCTTCTTTCAGATTAACCCTTTTGTTCCCGTTCACACAGCGCGCGGGACTCGCCTTGCATTCTCGTGTTATGGTGAATATGGTCACTAACGATGGAAGCTTCGAGAATATTGTCATCACTGGGAAGGATACTTGTGAGGTAAGGGTTATTCCACACTACTGTTATTCGTTTCATCTCATTATCTTCTTTTGGTGCCATCTTCTAACGAAGGTTGGCATCAAAACTTAAACTCTGGACACAGCAGTAAAATATAGAACTAGTACTTTTGAAATGTTCTCTTTCCTGGGCTTTTCTATTGTGTCTTTCTCTGGATAATGGTCTGTAGCAATTCGTATTTCTGTCTCATTTTCCTTGATTATTGTTAGATATGATAGTTTTTAATATCTCAATTATCGCCTTTGTTTATTGATTTCTGATTTTTTATTGCAAGCTAAAAAATCTTTCTTAGACTAATGTAGCGATACTAATATTACTGACATTTTAAAAGCGAAAGTTTAGATGGTTGTTTGTTAAAAATATCTTAAAAACAAGGCCTATGTTACTCACTGATAACGTAGCTTTATAAAGGTGAAAGAATTTTTGAAATCGGCCCAGTAGTTTTTGAGTTATTTCAATACATGCCAAGTAACAAATCTCTCCTCTTTATAATATAGACAAGTTTATCTGTTACTTCCAGACGGAGCACATAGACGGCATTAGTGACGTCACGCCGTTATCCGGCGCTGAGAATACTGACAAACTTATGACACACGTGTTTGAGTAAGTGATTCTTTCCACTAAAACGACTAACTTTACTATGTCCGCGAGTTTCTGCAGTTGTCGCACCAGTGGAAATAAAACGCAGACAGCATTTAGAAGCTAACCTTAGGGATTTAGGAAACCACCCTTAGTGTGTTTTAATACTAAATCTATACTTAAAGGGCATCCCTATTAATTAAGAACGGGAATAGGGACTTTTTTTTATTTCCTTGAGACAATGTCTCCTATCTCTTGTAGACATTTTTAATTGTCACTTTTAGTATAACTTAGTATTAAGTTGATTAAGTTAATTAATGCAATACTTTCTTTAGAATTAATTGGTTAACCGGTTTTAGTTAATTGATTAATTAATTCTTTATTCAATTAATTAATCAAATTAATCAATTAATTGACGTATTAAATTAAATTAATTAATTGGATAAATAAATTTTGCTTTCTCTTCCAGCCTTCTATCTCCACTCAAGTCATCTCATATCGCATTAGAGAGCATTCTCCTTCTCAACTTCCCGCCATCAGGCACATGCGGCGCCACCATCTTCGTCTCAAGTCTCAAGAACTACGGAGAAGGAAAAGTGACATTAGAATTCGGTGTTAACAAATGGAACTTCTTAAGTGAAGAAGATAAAATCGATATGGATTTAAGCTTCGCGATTAGTTTCTACATGTAAGATATATTTTTAACTAGCTTTTACCCGCGACTCCATCCGCATGGATGTTAAAAAAATAAAACTTAGTAGCCTATGTGTTTTTCCAGACTATCCTCTACATCCAAACTCTAACAAACATCCATCTAAGCTTTCGTATTTATAATCATCATCATCATCATCACCAGCTCACTATACATCCCCACCGAGGGGCTCGGAGACTACCCTAATAAGGGGTGACTAGGCCATAGTCAACCACGCTGGCCCAATGCGGGTTGGTTGACTTCACACATATCTTTGAATTTCTTCACCGATATGTGCAGGTTGCATCACGATGTTTTCCTTCACAGTAAGAATGTCGGGTAAATTATGTACATATGAAAATTCGAAAAATCGAAAATCACATTGGTGGCGGGATTCGAACCCAAGACCTGTAGATTACAAGTCAAGTGTTCAAACCACTGAGCCACCGACGCTCCTGTATTTATAATATTAGTATGATATGATTTTAATCTATAAAATTCCAGTTTGAACCAGAACCGTGAAGAGCCAGTCATTAAGGTGTACTCGGAGACCAGTATTAGCAGTCAGGATGGCAACTTGACAGCGGAAGTCGCGATCAGAGGGAAACTGCCCGACACTTTCCATAATATCAGTGATAGATATGTCAGAGTAAGTATGACCCTTTAACCCTTCATTTGACAGAGCTTTTGTGTAGGAAAAAAATTTACATGTTACCAACACACTAAAAATCTCAAGTACTTTTCTCTACACCAGTTCAGTAGATTTCTTAAATTAGTTTTTCATTACACTGGACACTATCTGATTAAGGGTTAACCAACAGCCAATAACGGTTTTAGAACACTGGGCGAGAATTCTCCAGTCCCTTTTTTAAGGTTAAACCTTTTCTTGTTAGTGTATCTGTAGATACATCAATTTTTTTTTCTAAACACTTTGGGTCATCAAGGTTAAGTGCTATGAATATTATTTTGATATTCGAAAAAATAAAATTCTCCCAAGTTAAGGGTTAACAAGTTAAGATAGTTAAATCCCAGACTTTTCCTGCCTCCCGTCCAGGACTTAGAGTGGTCATCCAAACACGCCTTACCTAAGGGTAGTTTAAATAACACCACTGTAAAGACACGTTTAAAGAAAGTGGTGTCACTGCGTTGTAAAAACAACTGATTTGTCCCTCGACTTGTATTCTTCCTCTAAATGTATATATTAGCTGTGGCTCGCCACTTCGTTCACGTAAGATTGTAAAGTACTAGCTTTCGCCCGCGACTCCGTCTGCGTGGAATTAAAATAAAAACAAAACGGAGTAGCCTATGTGTTCTTCAAGTATCCTCTACGTTTATGCCAAATTTCAAAATCCGTTCAGCCGTTTAGGCTACAAACTCTAACAAACATCCATCTAAACTTTCGCATTTTTAATATTAGTATGATAAAATACTTTACTCAGTGATTCCGTGAAAGAATTGAAAACGACGGATTAGTTTTTGAGTTATCTATACATACAAAAAGACACTTTTTTCCTCTTTGTAGTACTAGCATATATATAGATTATGTATGTTTTAAATAAATCAAATTTATTTCAGCTCTGTTATCTCCAAGAGGTGTCAACTCAGCCAGCAGCAGACCGAGATCTGTATTCCTATCCATCTTCATATTTAGGACAGATCATACTGTTGTTGGATTTCTCCAAAGAATACAGAAGTTGTCACGAAAGTGCGGAGAACAAATTGAAGATACATTACAAAGGAACTCCGAAGAATACATCTGGAGTGTTGGAGAGACATGTTGATTTCCAAATAGAAGGGGTAAGTTACTGAAAAAAGGACAGTCATTTTTTTTTGTTTTTTTATAGTATGAGGTGGCAAACGAGCAAGCGGCCACCTGAATCCTCCAAAATGGCGAAACGACCTGTGCCCAAGGACATCCGCAATTGCAGATGCGTTGCCTAACGTTATTCGACAGAGGAGGAAAAGCACATAAAGAGGATATTTCCCCTTCCTATGCATCTCCTCCTCCGTCAAATCCACTTCCCCTTCACAGCCTCTCCTTATAAGAAAAGGGTGGTAAAGAGAAAGGGACTCAAATTAAGCCTCCGGCACCACACTCTAAAGCGGGCACTACCACTGTTATAAAATAGAATAACAAATTCTTAACAACTCTACAACACAAACAGAAATAACAAAACAAAAAAAAACAAGACATAGAATAATTAAATTCAAAATAATAAAATTGTAATTTAACTTTCCAATATGAATGTGAATGTGTTATTGAAAAAAACCGATTAAACCGACGATATGACTTTAACTTGATTTGTATTTACTTTAACATGACTTGTTTTTCAACTTGACAACTTGTTTCAACTTGATGTTAAAGAAATGTTGATAAATTAACACTCCAAACCCAAATAGGTTTAAGTTTAAAGAGTCACTCTAATTTTAACCGGTTAATTAATTAATTGATTTTAAATTAATAATTAATCAATTTAATTTAGGAGGAATGAATCGCATGTTACAAGGAGGACGTTAGTTAGGAGTACATCGGTAGAGGTAGACATAGAAAGAGATGTATTGTGTAAAAGGTGACATGATCAAGAAGGGAGTGATGACTGAGATGACGGATGATAAAGTTATTTGGAGGAAAGGAGAAAGAAGATGATGAATTAATAAATTTAATTGATTTAATTTTCTATATAATTTTAAACATATAATTTACCACAGTTGTGAGATAGTTTTTTATTCTTTTTTAATGTACAATGAACCCTCCTATAACGAATTCACGTTGTTCGAATCCCCTGTATAACACATTTTAACAGCGCACCACAAATCGCATTATAACGGAGTTTTTATGATTTGTTCGTATTTGTGTTGTTATAGAGGGTAATTGCCGCGTTACAAGAGAGCGTGTTGTAGTGTTTACTGTAAATTATTGTTATAATTTCAGAAACAAGGCATAGATATATTACGTCACGTATTACCTAAATGGGTTTTAGAGACGTCAAGGGATTTATTCAGCGGCACTTATGATAAGGATTCGATTAAAGCTGAAGCAGAAATGAAGGTAAATCTTTTATAATAATACTAGCTGTACCCGTGCGTTGTTCGCATTATGAAAATTTTACTTTATTGTTTACATTTGTCAAATTATCAATTACAAATGTCAAAATGACATAACATGATGACAACCTTGCTTCCTTGTTGGCAGTAACTTATGCTCTCTTTCCCACATTAGGGTTTTTATCCAAAATATTTACACTCTAAGTTTAATGTCGTTAAAATATATAGCCTAAAGTGTGACGTAAGTGTAGGGCTTTTTATTAAAAAAATAATTAACAAAAATATGCTGTAATTGCTGACATCTTATGCAACAAAGAAGTGTGTGTTTACGCTTTATTATAATAGTATAGACTAGCTTTCGCCAGTGACCCTGTCCGCGTAGAAAAAACAAAAGCAAGTCGCATATCTGTTCTTCCAGAATATGTTCTACATATATGCGAAATTAAAACGAGATCCGTTCAGCAGTTTAGGCTACAAACTCTAACAAACATTCATTCATCTAAATTTTCGCTTTCATAAATTTTGTCTATACTGATATTATAAAGAGGAAAGATTTGTATTTTTGTATGTATTGAAATAACTCCAAAACTACTGGGACATCTTTCACCATTACAAAAGTAACTTATCAGTGAGTAACATAGTAATTTATGCTATTTAGTAATTTCACGCGGACGAAGCCGCGAGCAACAGCCAGTATCAAATAAAAAAAACTACAATTTTCTTTCCTTTCGGTGTGGTTTACATTTCTGTTATACACTAGTTTTTGCCCGCGACGCGTAGCTTTTCAATGCTGCAACAATATTTGAAATTAGCCCAGTAGTTTTTGAGTCACTTCAATACATACAAAAATACAAATCTTTCATGTTTTCTTAGTATAGTCTTCTGAGTCTTCTGTGAGTCTTATTACTAAGTGTTTCCCTTTCTAGGAGAAGAATGGTATGATCCATGTAAAGAGTAAATTAAGTGAGGTTATGTTAAAACCTGACAATCTGGAGTGGTTACTTGACAGCTTCACGATAATGCAAATGATGACGAAGTATGGATTCTACCGTAAGTTAGTTCTACTAATTTATCTGGCTCCGTTAAAACATGAATAAGTTTGACCCGGTATATTGAAACTAAATTATTAATGCCTTTTATGAGATAATATATATCTATATAGGTTTAATATTTACTAGTAGGCAACATAATAGCACTTTTCACATCAAGTCACACATCCTTGTTTGACTATACAAGCGGTCCTTCATCACCGGCTCACTATACATCCCCACCGAGGGGCTCGGAGCCTACCCTAATAAGGGGTGACTAGGCCATAGTCAACCTGCACTGCGGGTTGACTTCACACATATCTTTGAATTTCTTCGCCGATATGTGCAGGCATCACGATGTCTTCCTTCACCGTAAGAACGTCGGGTAAATTATGTACATATGAAAACTCGAAAAATCGAAAATCACATTGGGACACGGCGGCGGGATTCAAACCCAAGACCTGTGGATTACAAGTCAAGTGTTCAAACCACTGAGCCACCGACGCTCCTTACCAAGCGGTCCTTACCAAAAATAAATTGCAATTTTATGTTTATTACATTTCACTATATTTCGCCCGCTACTCCGTCCGCGTAGAAAAAAAAAACTGAATAGCCTATGTGTTCTTCCAGACTAACCTCTACATCTATACCAAATTTCATCCAAATCCGTTCAGCTGTTTAGACTACAAACTGTAACAAACATCCATCCATCTAGACTCCCGCATTTATAATATTAACTAGAGTGTGTCTAAATAAGATAGATTTGTTTGATTATCGCATATGAAGTATCGAATTCAATTTATATGAAGGTAAATGCCATACTTAATAGACAGGTATCGTAGTGACGAAACACGCAGCGAACAATTATGAACTATCGATATTCGGTTTAAATAATTATCGAACTCAACTAAAATTATTATTTTCTTATTAACTAATTTAGAGGATAATTCTAGTATTGATTATAGTTTAGAAAATTTAGCGATGACAGAAATAATAGCGAAATCCAATTCGATTACGTACGGCTGTAGTAGTAATAAACATTTATTTACTCTCATTATTTGTTATGGTTATTATTAATTTGAGAAAACAGTGTTTTTTTTAAAATTCATAAGTTATAACTATAAATCTATCGATTCCAACTTCTATAAGAATAAAAATCGAAAATCGATAAGATTCATGACTGATTTTACACAACCCATCCCTACTAAATTTGAAGTGAATTGTCAAATTAATCTAAATTATTTAGACAAACTAGTGTGATTGTTTATTGTTTACATTTGTCAAATTATCAATTGCAAATGACTTTAAATGCTGCAACGAAATCGAAGGCTTTTATAGGCTGAGAATTGTTTGTAAGTAACCATGGCAACCTTGCTTTTATACTATTAGCGTTGTACTTTTTGTCTCTTTTCCTTATCTTTAATATCGTGAAATATAGCTTAAGCGTGTAAGTGTAGGGCTTTTTATTAAAAAAACTAGCTGTTCCCATGCGGCTTCATCCGCAGGTAATTATAAAAACTTTATTTTATCGTTTACATGTGTCAAATTATCAATTGCAAATGTCAAAGTGACATGACATGGCAATCTTGCTTCCTTGATGTTGGAAATAACTTATGGTCTCTTTCCCACATTAGGATTCTCATCCAATTTATTTACCCACTAAATTTAAAAGCGTGAAAATATATAGCCTAAAGCGTGACGTAAATGTAGGATTTTTAATTGAAAAAAAGAATTATTCAAAAATATGCTGCAATTGCTGACATCTTAGGCAACAAAGAAGTGTGTGTTTACGCTTTATCATAATAGTATAGATAGATTTAGAAGTAAATTATTTTAAGCTCACAGCTTTGACTAAACTATCACATATGGTTGTGTGATTGTCGATTGTTTTGTTCAACTGTTTAGTTGCACAACAAACGAGTAGTGTTTTTTTTTTATAATATAAGGTGGCAAACGAGCAAGCGGCCAATTAAATGGCGAAGCGACCGCTCCCCATAGACATCCGCAATTGCAGATGCGTTGCCTACCCTTATCCGACGGAGGAGACGCACATAAAGAGGATATTTCCCCTTTCTATGCATCTCCTCCACCGTCAAATCCACTTCCCCTTCCCATTCTCTGTTTATAAGAAAAGGGTGGTAAAGAGAAAGGGACTTAAATTAGGCCTCCGGCACCACACTCATCAGACTGTATACGGAATTGCTTCCATTTGACGCCTGTCTTGTGTGGTCGTGGTATTACTGGGGGCGAGCCCTGCAGTGCTAAGATGTTAAAGCGGACACTACCGCTGTTTATATGCTAATACTCACCTCTATATATGCTGATACCAAAGACTAAACAGTTGTGCGATAGTTTATTCAAAGATAGGCGTGCTATAATATTAGTTTAGATAATTATGTTGTCCGTTTTCTTCAGGTGAATGTCGTATAGAAGAGTCGACAGTTGTAACGTTGTATGGTGCCACAGAGCAGTTATCTCCAGTACAGAGTGATGCAATAGTTTTGGCGGATTGTTCACATTTTTCTAGGTATGTTTGCTGTTACCGCATGACATTTTAAAAACAAAATCCACTTGCCCTTCCCTTACGGAGGGTCGGCACAGTATGTGCTGCTCCATACATCTCTATCAGCCGTCATATCTGAATCCAGTCCTTTCTTAAGCATATCCCCTTTCACACAATCCATATTTTCTTCGGTCTTCTACCTTTGTGGCCATCCACATTCAATCTGAACACTTTCTGGTTTATGTCCCCATCGTCTCGCATTACATGTCCATACCACGCTAACCTTTTGCTTCTCAATTTCTTCATCACTGACGCTACTTTCAAACTTCCTCTAATATACACTTAACTATTCTTAACTTTATCCATTCTTGTCCCACCACACATCCATCTTAACATACGCATCTCAGCTACATTTTTGACCGACTTCCCAAAAGAAGGAGGTATTCAATTCGTCGGTATATTTTTTTTTTATTTTTTTTTTATGTGTGTTACGGCATAACT